GGGGGGGGAGGGCAAGAGGGAGGGGGAGGGGGGCGCGGCTCGGCACAAGGCCCGGCCGCCGCACCTTGCAACCTAGGCTAACCCTAACCCCAACCCTAACCCTAACCCCAACCCTAACCCTAACCCCAACCCTAACCCCAAGGCCCGGCCGGCCGCACCTTGCAACCACAAGAGGGGCAAAACGCGCACCGGCCGGAGGAGCACTCGGCGCACGGGCAGCGGCATCGGCAGCGGCAGTCGCCGAGCGCCGCTTTGCCATTCGGAGGCGGGCGCCCCCCCTGCTGCGCCTGCTGGCTCCTCATGCACTCGTACCAGAGCACCTTTGCGGCTGCGGCGCGCGACGGGTCGCTGCGCCACAAGCGGAGCGCCTCAATCACGGCCTATGGGCACATGTCACATGTACATGTGCACATGTACATGTTGTGCATGTGCATGTCTCGCGGCCATCCCTCGGCTATCCCTCTCTCGGCTATCCCTCGGCCATCTCTCGGCTGTCCCTCGGCTGTCCCTCGGCTATGCCATCTCTCGGGGGAGGAGAACGGCACCTTCCAGCGCCCTTGCTCGTCCGCACGGGAGATATGGGGAGATATGGGGAGATATGGGGAGATGTGCACCTTCCACGCGCCCTTGCTCGTCCGCACGGGAGATATGGGGAGATATGGGGAGATATGGGGAGATATGCACCTTCCACGCGCCCTTGCTCGTCTGCACGGCGCGAGACGCCTCGACGCTCTCCCCGGCCCCGCCCTCGCCGGCCCGGCGCGCAGCGGGGCAGCCGGAACGGGCCGTCTGTCCCTCGCCACCTGTGCCGCATCCCTCTCCGGCCTCGCCGCCTTGCGTGGGAGAGGCGGTGCGAGGCGGTGGGAGAGGGGGGGGGGGGGGGGAAAGGCCGTGAGGGGGGGGAAGCGGTGAAGGGAATGGCGGTGAAAGAGTGGCCAAAGAAGAAAGGGCCCCAAAAAGGCCGCCGGGGAAACGGGCGCCTCTGCCGGCGCCGCCAGGCTGGCTGGCGCAGCGGCGCAGCTGCCGCCTCTCCTCCCTCGTCAGCGCATGGCGCAGCACCTGCAGGGCGGCGCTGGCGAGGGCGTCGGAGTAGGCCGGGGAGAGCGGGCAAGCAGAGCAGGCGGCGGAGGTTGATCTCGCATCTCTGCCGCAATCTCGGCCGTATCTCGCTGCGATGGCGCAAGGGCGGACCGTGAGCAGCGTGTCGACAGGGCAGCTGAAGGGCGTCGGTCCGTACTCGAGGCCTGCCAGCGGCTGCACCGTGGACGCGGAGCGAAGGCCCGGCTCGTCTGCGGCAGGCGTGAGCGGCAGCGTGTGCACCGGCGCCAGCCGCCCACCGCTCCTCACCACGCCATGCCTCCGGTTGGAGCTGGCGTCGGGCGCCGGCGCGAATGAGGCGCCGCTGGGCTGCCGGACGCGGCGAGGCCGCTTGTTCATACGCTCGGGGAATGCGGGCGTGGCCAACGGCGGCGGAGCCGGAGCAGGGGCGGGAGCTGGGGCAGCGGGAGCTGGAGCGGCAGCGGGAGCGGCGTCAGCCGGCGGCTCGCTCGAGCGCTGCTGGCGAGGGCGCCGAGAGCGGACGTCGGCGAGGCGCGAGGGGAGGATGGACGTCGCGTCGTACTCACGATTCCGCCACCACCACCGGCAATTCCGCCGGCGAGGGCGTCGACAGACCACCATATACACGAGACGCCGGTTTTTCTTTTTCTTAAAATCTCAAATGCGAAGCGCCGCAAACGCCGGCGAGCGCCATCAGCAGCGCGTGAACCGCCACCCAAAAGTGGAGGTACATGAGCCTCATGAGGAGGTGCAGCCAGCCTGCTCTATCAACCCCGCATCCGCGGAGGCGCGACCGGTTCGCGGTTCGCCAAATTTGGCTCCCGGTTCGAATCGCGGTAGGCGCGCGCCCTCGCGGAGCGACGCGTGGCGCGCGACGCGCGCGCGTGTGCGCGTCCGCGCCAAGCCGAGCCGTAGCCGTCTGCCGTCTGCCGTCTGCCTTTTAAGGGGCGGGAAGATGGCGGCCGCACGTCCCAGATTTTTCTTTCACTGGGGTCGTCTGCGCTTTCTGACATGATATCTCCCCGCCGTGCGCGCTGCAAAAGCTCCCGATGTGGGGTCGTCCCTCTGCTCAGAGGCTCCGAGCGGCGAGCGACGTGGCCTTCTGTGCATCTGTGGCGCAGTGGCGGTGCAGTCCATTCGGGGCGCCGCGTCTTCTGCGTTCTACGACGCACCTCCGTTTTTCGCGGATATGTTTACGCTTCGCTTAGCTCCTGCTTACTCCCCGCGGTCCTATGGATGTGAGTTGTGAGGTTCCAAGTGCTCCAAGTAACACATAAAGCCGTACCGCGACCCCCAGTCTGAGATCCTGAGAACACATATCACAGTGAAGCCCGGCCTGCCCGCAGACAGACGAGTGAGTCGACGGCCATATTGTGGTCTTGAGGGAGGGTGTAGTAGAGGATGCAGAGTGTAGAGCGCTGTAGAGCTGTAGAGATGTAGAGCGCTCTGGACGTCTGGAGCGCTGTAGAGCTGTCGAGCTCTACATCCGCCGCGTGACGAACTGCGTTGTAGAGCGATGTAGAGCGCGATTTTGCTGTAGAGTTCGTTGTAGAGGCTCTTCAGCCAACCCGCCGGGAAGGCAGTGACTCAAAGAGGTCGAGCCGCGCTAATGGGGTGTCTCCGAGCTTACTGGAGCTCTGATGGACAGCCCTGACTATCCCTGACACACAGAGAGTCACTCCGACGGCACACAACACCCTATAACTGCGTCATGACCAGCCTGCCATGCGTCGCCGGTGCCGCATTCGTCGCTGTGCTTCTTTAGCAGGCGGTGGACTGTCGGCTGCGAGGACGGTCGCATTGGCGCGAGGCGAGGCGAGCATTCAGGCGCGTTGCATGCGCCATGACTCGCGCCAGCGCGTGCGGGAGCTCCTGGCTGAGCGTTGAGTCCAGGCGAGTTGCGCTGGTCACTATCGCTACGCTGAGCCGAGCTGACGCGCCGAGGCGCCGGCCAGTCGCAGCCGTGAGGCATGCCACAGCAGCAGAGGCACCTGCCACCCATTGGGCGGGCAGACAGAAGGCCAGGGCAGCACTGGCAAGTGCAACGCGCCTCATGTCGGAGAGCGACCGTGCCTCGTTCGCCGCTTATGATGTGAGTTGAGCACTTGAGCACTGGATAGGGTCGATTCCGCATGGTACGGGACCCCTCGATCGTCTCGCCCTCCCTCACTGGTGTGTTCAGGGGGGGGGGGGGGTCATAACAAACACGGTACAGGATCGAGGTGCACGCTGCTGATGCAGTGTCGTCCCCCCTCTCCATCGTCTCACTGGGAATTTGTTGTCTTTATTTCACGCTGTACAGTTGTAGAGCGCCTCTACATCGCTCTACAACGCACGCAGTTCGTCACGCGGCGGATGTAGAGAGCTCTGCAGAGCTCTACAGCTCTACAGCGCTCTATACACTCTATCTACATCCTCAACAGAGACTACACCCCCTCCCCTCAGATTATGGTTCGAGACTTTTCTTTCGCCTTGGAGTGTCCAAAAACTTCCTTGAAACCGCTCAATGATGCGCCATGGGAACCCCATCTCCCCCCCGCATGGCCACACACCCTCTGGGGCCCCCGCGCCGGCCCAGAGCTCGCTGCTCACTCTCGCCACACGCACCGCACACGCGATGCCTGACAGGAAGAGCACTTGGGATTTTTTGTTTTCGAAAAATGCTCCGCGCTCAATGATGCGCCTCTTGCCACTCTCGAATCCGCCCACGCAGCGCGTGGTTTGGGGTGAGGATGCTATGCTCGAGCGCCTCGCCCGTCATCGGGCTCGTCGACTTGGTCGCGAGCCAGCGCTCGATCTGCTTCCGCTCGTAGGAATGGCCGTCCGTCGCCATCACCGGGTCGCTCATCACCTCGGTCGTGATGGGGCAGATGAAGTCGGCCGGCGGCGGCTCCTCCCTCGGCGGCGCCTCCGGCTGGGGCGGCTCCTCCGCCACCCGCCTCTCCTCCTCCAGCCTAGCGCTCTCCTGGAGCGCCGCCGCCAGCTCCGCCTCCTCCTCCGCCGCCACCGCCCCCCCCTCCGCAGCCGCAACCGCCTCCGCCTCCTCGCCTTCCGGCTCCTGCGACGGCTCGGCGCCGCTCCCTCCGCCCCTGCCCTTCTTCTTCTTCTTCTTTTTCTTGTTGGCCTTGCGCTCCTTGGCGCGCTGCTCCGCCTCCTTCTCCGCCTCCTCATCCGCCAGAAGCGCTTCCGCGTTCCGATCCGCCGCCGCCGCCGCCTCCGCCATCTCGGCCTCTCTTGCCGCCGCCTCCGCCGCCCTAGCCTGAGCGCGCATGCTCGCGGACGAGGGGCGGAGGACGGTGGTCGTGCGGTCGAAGGCCGCGTCGCCGATCTCGGCGGTGGCTGGCACGGTGACGGAGGCGAGCGAGGGGCAGCCTTCGAAGGCGGCTTCGCCGATGGAGGTAAGGCCGGCGGGGAAGGTGACGGAGCCGAGGGCCTCGCAGGCGTCGAAGGCGCAGTCGCCGATGGAGGTGAGGGTGGCGGGGAGGGTGACGCGGGCGAGGGCGGAGCAGCCGGAGAAAACAGCAGCGCTGATGGAAGTGAGGCCGGCAGGGAAGGTGACACGGGTGAGAGAGGAGCAGCGGAAGAAGGCGGCCTCGCCGATGAAGGTGAGACCGGCAGGGAGGGTGACGTGGGTGAGAGAGGAGCAGAGGTGGAAGGCGCTGGGGCCGATGGAGGTGAGGCCGGCGGGGAGGGTGGCGGTGGTGATGAAGGGGCAGCGGGCGAAGGCGCCCATGCCGATGGAGGTGATCCCGGCGGGGAGGGTGACGGAGGGGAGGGCGGAGCAGCCGCGGAAGGTGTAGTTGTTGATGGCGACGAGGCCAGCAGGGAGGTCGATGGAGGAGAGCGAGGAGCAGCCCTCGAAGGCGCCGCTGCCGATCGAGGCAAGGCTGCGCGAGAAGGCGACCGAGACGAGAGAGGTGCGGTTGCGGAACGCCCGGTCCGGCAAGTGCGTCATGCCTTCGGGCAGCACCGCGTGTCCGTCGGTGACGACGACCTGCCAGCCGCCCACGTCCAAAGTCTCGAAGCCGGTCGGCGAGAGCGTTGTCGTCTGGTCGGCAAGCATCCTCAGGTCGGCTAAAGTTTTCTGGTCGTCGAGTGCCGTCTGGTCGGCGAGAGACACAGTCCTCTACTCGAGTATGAACTCAGCCCGGTGTGCTAAGTCGGGGATGGGATTCTTAGAGGGGGATGGATTTGTCACAAACCATCCCCCTTCTCTCTCCCCAATGTTCCAAGTTTTCTCAAAAACGCGTGTGCAACTTTCTCTTCTTGAGCACTTGAGCACTTGATAGGGTCGATTCCGCATGGTACGAGACCCCTCCCTCCGATCGTCTCTCTCGCCCTCCCCCTCCCTCCCTCCCTCACCGGTGTGTTCATTGGGGGGGGTCATAACAAACACGGTACAGGATCGTGTGTGATTTGGGCTCGGGATCGAGGTGCACGCTGCCGAAGCAGTGTCGTCCCCCCTCTCCCCGACGGCCATGGCGGTGTGACCGATCGAGCTACAAGAAGAGCTTGTTCAGCAGGATCCGGGTTAGATTTCTCTTCTCATAAATGGAGGGTCAGTCCACTGGCTGGGGTTTGACTCACTCGCTCGGGGGGTGATGTCCGCGGACGGAACCCATTTCCGCCGTGTCGCTCACACCCGAGCTGTCACCAGGTCACCAATCACACAGCGAACGTCCTGAAAACAAGTAAAAAATCGCCAAAAAATCCGAAAAGCTGAGCAGCTAGGTGACCTGCACGAGGGGTACTGGAACCGGAGCGAGGCGAGCACGAACCAGGGGGGACCGACTGACCCGGCTCGCACGCTCAAGTCGGACGTGGTGTCGGAACTGGAGGCAGTCTCCAGGGCGGCCAAATGGGACTGGGCGTGCGCGACGGGCCGAGCGGTCATCAGCCTCCAGCATGACGGGGTCGTGATCGTCCCACTGCCAAGGGACCATGTCCTTGTCTGGTGTTTACTAGCTCCGAGTAGAGGGGGCGTTCTGCTGCTAGGGGAAACCTGGAGCGCGGTACTAACCCTCGGAGAACCGTGTTTACTTTACGGCCCTTTCCCTGCGCGAACGCGCACCCCCCAGGGCTAGGGCTCTCTAGCCCGTAACCCGATCCCGATCATCCGGCCCGCTGGGTGCGCTTCTTAGCTCCCCGGCCCTGGATGTGAGGTTACTAACTGCACTCCAAGTGCTCCAAATCGGCGCCTGCGGCGGGCCATGGGAACCCCATCTCCCCCCCGCATGGCCACACCCTCTGGGGCCCCCGCGCCGGCCCAGAGCTCGCTGCTCACTCTCGCCACACGCACCGCACACGCGATGCCTGACAGGAAGAGCACTTGGGATTTTTTGTTTTCGAAAAATGCTCCGCGCTCAATGATGCGCCTCTTGCCACTCTCGAATCCGCCCACGCAGCGCGTGGTTTGGGGTGAGGATGCTATGCTCGAGCGCCTCGCCCGTCATCGGGCTCGTCGACTTGGTCGCGAGCCAGCGCTCGATCTGCTTCCGCTCGTAGGAATGGCCGTCCGTCGCCATCACCGGGTCGCTCATCACCTCGGTCGTGATGGGGCAGATGAAGTCGGCCGGCGGCGGCTCCTCCCTCGGCGGCGCCTCCGGCTGGGGCGGCGAGCCGGTCGGCGAGAGCGTCGCCGTCTGGTCGGCGAGCATCCTCAGGTCGGCTAAAGTTTTCTGGTCGTCGAGTGCCTGGTCGGCGAGAGACACAGTGTCCTTCGCAGGCAGTGTCGGTCCGCTGCACAGCTGGGCGGATTAAGCCTTTTTTGCTTTCTTCTGCTGCTGTTACGTCCTCGGTCCCCGCGGGAAGCCCCGCGCATAGGACAACAACGTCTGTCCCACACACACACACACAGACGCGCACATACATCATGCTCGGGCACACCCCACAGTGTAGGCTGAGGGCCAAAAGCAAAACGCGCAACGCCACTCTCGCATCTCAGAGCCGTGTTCTGTCTCAGTCAGCAACCCCGCTCGCGGGTGCTAGAGCAGCGTTCTTCAAGCTTAAATCCCACTCTACACAACACAGAGCAGCGTTTGCCTAACAAGACTCCGCTCTGCAACCTTCAGAGCGGACTCTTGCGAAAAACACCGACCGAACACGTTCGAGCGGAGTCAAGTCAGTGCAACACCGCTCAACATAGCGGGAGCGGTCAATTTCCGCGGAGAGGCTGCTTTCGCCTCCCTCAGCCGCGCTCTCCTTCGCTCCTCCTCTTCAGAGCGGGACTTTGCTGAGTGAACACCGCTCTAGCTAGTGAGAGCAGCGATTGCTTTAAGCTGACACCGCTCTAAATGGCGTGAGCGGCGTCGCCCTGAATAGACGCTGCTCTGGGACGCCGGGACGGCGATGCCACCTGACGCCGACGGCGGATCCACGATCGCTCGTGGCGCGCGGCGCGGCGTGGCGAGCCCCGCCCCTGGGGTTGAGCAGCGTGTGGGTGGGTCGTCACTGCTCCGAGTAGTCAGAGCGGCGTCGCGTTTAGTGATACGCCGCTCACGCCATTTAGAGCAGTGTCAGCTTAAAGCAATCGCTGCTCTTACTAGCTAGAGCAGTGTTCACTTAGCAAAGTCCCGCTCTGAAGAGGAGGAGCGAAGGAGAGCGCGGCTGAGGGAGGCGAAAGCAGCCTCTCCGCGGAAATTGACCGCTCCCGCTATGTTGAGCGGTGTTGCACTGACTTGACTCCGCTCGAACGTGTTCGGTCGGTGTTTTTCTGAGCAAGAGTCCGCTCTGAAGGTTGCAGAGCGGAGTCTTGTTAGGCAAACGCTGCTCTGTGTTGTGTAGAGTGGGATTTAAGCTTGAAGAACGCTGCTCTAGCACCCGCGAGCGGGGTTGCTGACTGGGATAGAACACGGCTCTGAGATGCGAGAGTGGCGTTGCGCGTTTTGCTTTTGGCCCTCAGCCCACAGTGTACTGTCCACTATGAAAGTGTGGACCGGCGTGAACAGCAGCTCCTGACCACGGCGCCGCAGGCGCCTGTTGATAGGTCCAGGTGATAGCCCTGGATAGGCAATGCATACGCCTAGTTGGGCCTCGGATCGCCCGACCGCGTCCCGGTGCTCTGTGGTCGGATTTGTGACGCCGACGTACCGCGCCGCGGCCGGGGGCCCTCCGGAGGCCGAGGATGGCCGTGACGGACCGGGACGAGCTCTGGGAGGTTCAGTGTCAGTGTATATATTGTAGAGACCAACCATATGCACAATATCTCTCAGTCTAGCTAAGCCTGGGAAGGTAATGCCGGGGCCGTATAGCAGCTTGATGGTGCCTCGCCGGCGTGCGTCCCGGAGCGGTCCGGACGGGCGGTCCGGGGGACAAAATCGGGGGACAACGCCGACGGCGCCCTGATTCGACTTTTAACTTCAAACAAAGCCTACCGCACGCGCCGCGACGCGGCGCGTGCGGTAGGCACTCGGGATTTTGCCAGATCGGCGTGTTCATGCCGGGATCGTGTCCCCGACAACCTGCCCAGACTTTAGGCTTGGACAGTAGTGGTGTGAGTACACAAGTACTAGCAGAGTGCACACCTGCCTTGGCGGGTGAGGGTCGTAAGAATCAAAGCCTCTTGGTGCCAAACGTGCTCGAGCGCGCCGAAGAGAGACGATCTACGCTCGAGGGAGTTAGCGAAAGTCGCACGGGCAGAGGGGAGACCGAGGCCTCCGGCAGTCCGCACGTGCGGAGTTTTTCTTTTCTTTTTTGCTACTGACCATGTCCCCATGTCCATGTCCATGTCCATGTAGTCCCCACAATCGCTGTCGTGGGATCGTTGTCATGTGAGAGAGTGCGTTGTGTTGGGCGTGCGGTTTCTCTTTTGGAAGGATAAAGCGCGGGCTGTCAGCCGAACCCAGGTGCTGGCCGCGTTCGCCCGGGCATTCCACCGAGTCCACGTGTAGCCCGGCACACAGCGAAGCGTCCTTTTAGTGGAGCGCTCCCTTAGCTCGCGCTCCTCTCATGCCCTGCTCGGCTCACCCGCCACACGCTGCCTGACAGACAAACCACATATGGCCTTTCCGCACCTCTTCGCCACGCCCGAGCTCACCGCCTTTGGGCTCGCCACCGGCGTCATGCTCGCCTGCATGGTTGGCGACATGCTCATGTCGACCTTCTACACGCTCACGTGGAAGGGAGGAACCATGGACGACGGCGGCGGCGCGGGCGAGTTCAGCTCGGTCGTGGCCAGGGTGGCGTTCACGTGGGAGGGGCTGATCGCCGGCCACGCGCGGCCGGGCGGCTTCCCCGTCCAGAGCCTGCTGGACGCGATGGCGGTGCAGTCTGCCTCGTCCCGCCTGCTCGGACCGTTCATGATGCTCATCTGCAAGTGCGACGAGAGCAACATCCGGACGATCCGGGAGGCGTGGCTGGCGCACGGCTCTCCCGCGTCGCTGCGCGCGCTGCTGGCCGCCGAGAGGGCGGCCGGCGCGCAGCTCGGCGAGGGCCGGCTCGAAGAGTCGTCGGCGGCGCTCGCGCTGACGTGGGCCACTCGGATGCTCGGCTTCTGGCTCGGGATCCTGCGCGCGCTGGCGGACGAGGAGGTGGTCGCCGGCATGAGCATGCCGCGCTACGCGACCGGCGTCGTGTACAACGACTGGGTCGCCCCCTACCACGGCCTCCTCCTTCGCTCCACCTTTCGAGCGGGCCTGCGCGCACTTCCCGCGCGCGGCGAGATGCTGCGCCGCCTCGCCGGCGGAGACACATCGAGCGAGCGGCAGGCGCATCTCGTGCGGGACTGCAAGCGCTGCATTGCCGCGACGGAGCGCGTCATCGAGACGCTGCGCGCGGCGCTGCGGGAGCAGGGCCTGCGCGATGAGACGAGGGTGTGATGTCGGTGGTGGGTGGGTAGGGCGTGCTGGAGGCGGCGGTGAGTGATAGGAATAATCTCCAACAGCCGAGATGATGACCAATCATATCACGTTGATCATCAACGTGGCGCCCAGCTATGCACCCCTTCCCGCCGGGCCTGACAGCCCCGCCCTCGCTGCCCTCACCCTCGCCCTCGCCCTCGCCCGCCGCGCCCTCGCCCGCCGCGCCGCTCTCACCGCCACCTCAGCCGCCACCGATGGAGACGACGGCCGCCATAACCAAACAGTTCTGCAAGGATGCGCTGGTGTGTTTGGCCGCCGCCGATGACACAGTGCTGCCCTCACCGGCCACCCAGGTTTTCCGTCGCGACAAGCGAACGACCGCGCCTTCGCGCGTCTCCCGCGGACCGGGCGCCTCACCCGCGCGTCTCCCGCGGACCGGGCGCCTCACCCGCGCATCTCCCGCGGACCGGACCCCTCACCCGCGCACTCCGCCCACCGCAGGCGTCCGGCGAGTCCGTGGAGGCGGTCGCACTCAGCGTCGTCCAGGCGTGCTCGGCGGCCGGACTCGCACCGACTCGCGAGATGTTCAACCACCTCCTCGTCGCCATCGCCGCCAAGGGTCCCCCCTCGGCGGTCCTCGACTGGTTTGGGCGGGCTCGCTCGGCCGGCATCGGAGTTGGAACGATCGCCTGCAACCTGGTTATCGCAGCGCACGTGGCGCAAGGCGACGTGAAGACGGCGGCCGAGCTGCTCACACTCATGATGCGGGGCGAGGCGGCACGCGGCGGGCTCCCGCCTCCCAACGCCGTCACCTTCAACACAGTGATCAGCGCCTTTGCGCGCGCCTGCGACCCGCAAAAGGCGGAGCTAACCCTCGTGGCGATGATCGACAGCGGCCTCGTGCCGGCCGGGCCCGCGTCCTACGCGTCCGTCATCGCCGCGTGGGCGCGTGCCGCGCAGCCGGCGACCGCGGAGCGGTGGCTCAGCCGGATGCTCTCGTCGTGCGTCCCTCTGGCCGGCACCGCCGCCTCGGAGGTGGTCGCCTTCAACGCGACGCTGGACGCGTTCGCAAAGGCGTCGGACGTGAGCGGGGCGCGGCGTGTGCTCGACCTGTTCCGCACGAGGGCGGACTCCACGCCCGGCCTGCCCATGCGAAGAGGTTCCGACATTTGCGTCTCTTGGGGGGGGCTTAGTCTCCGCCCATTGCCTCAGGCTTTGCGCCCGACGCCATCTCGTACAACTGCCTCATCTCAGCGTGCGCGCGGGCGGGCCGGCCGGCGCAGGCGGAGGCCACGCTTCGAGAGCTCGAGCGGGCGGGCCTGCAGCCCAACACAATCTCCTTCTCGGCGGTGATCCACGCGCACGCCAACGCCGGCGACGCGGCCAAGGCGCAGGGGTGGCTCGACTCGATGCGCGCTCGAGGCGTGCCCGCCGACGCGGTGTGCTTCAACTCGGTCTGCGCGGCACACGCGCGGCGCGGCGACGTGGCGAGCGCGTCGGTCTGCTTCCGGGCGATGGAGGAGGCAGGCGTATGCGCCTCGCCGCAGACGCACGCCATCCTGGTCCACGCGCTGGTGAAGAGCGGCGACGCGGACCGCGCCGAGGCGACTTTGCGCGAGTTGATCGGCAGGGAGGAGCCGCTCGAGGCAAGCCGCCAAGACGAGCCGAGACGAGTCGAGAGGGGCCGAGACGAGCCAGAGCCGAGAGGAGCCAGAGCCGAGAGGAGCCGAGAGGAGCCAGAGCCGAGAGGAGCCAGAGCCGAGAGGGGCTGCCGAGATGAGCCAGAGCTGAGAGGAGCCGAGAGGAGCCAGATGGAGATCCAGAGCGGCACGAGGCGGCCGCGCACGCCTCGCTCCGCTTGAGTCCTTTCCCGGAGCAATGTAAGGAGCCCGCCAGCCCGGCCCCGACACGCTTCCGCTTTTTCGCCGCCTCCAGGCAGCGTGCTTCAACTCGCTCATCTCGCTCTTCGCCCGCCAGCGGCAGCCCCTCCGTGCGGAAGGCGTCCTCGCGCTGATGCGGGAGGCGAGGGTCCGGCCGACGCTCGTCACGCTCAACGCGCTCGCGTCGGCGCACGCATCAGTCGGCGACATGGACGCGACCGAGCGCATCTTGGGCCAGGCCACGACGGCCTTCCGCTTCAGCCTCGACCACTACTCCTTCGCGGCGCTCTTCCAGGCTGCCCGACGCGTCGCGATCAACACGCACCTGGCGGAGCTTGCTCGGAACCTCCCCGGAACCTCCCCGCAGGCGTGCGCCAACGACGAAGACGGCGCCGGCGCCGGGCGCGGCGGCCGGCGTGAGCGGCAGCAGCGCGCCCGGCGGTACGTGCTCCAGATGTGGTCGAGCGGCGTCGCTATGACGGAACGGCTCGCTATCACGTGTCGGCGCGCGCTCGGCGGCACGCACGCGCTCAGGCAGCTGCGAGCCGAGTACGACGCGTCACGGGCCAAGGCTTCCGCTGCCGTCACGGCGCGCCAGCGCCAGCCCGGGCTCTCTGACGCGGCCGCGTTTCCGACGCGATGCACACTCGCTTGCAGGTGCGATCGCCCCCAGCGTCCGGCCCCGAGAATGGCGGCGAGGCGCCGGCGCCATCCCGGCTGTCCATCTTTATGGCCATCACCGGGGAGGGGGAGGGCGAGGGCGAGGGAGGGAGTGGCGCTGAGGACGGCGACGAGGGCGAGGGCGACGGGTGGCAGACGGTCAGGCGCCGGCGCGGCACGCCACGCGGTGGCGGGCCAAAGAGCGGCGGAAAGGGGCTTGGCAGGGTGCCGTCGCTCAAGACCATCGCAAAGCCGCCCCCGCCGAAGGCGTCGCCTCGCCGGCCTTCCCGTGCGCGCCCTCGTCTCCCGCCCACGCCCGCGCTGCCGAGCGAGACTCCTGAGGGTGAGGCGGCGAACACGGTAGGCTCCGCGTCCTTCTCCGAGGACGTGGCCGACGCGGAGGCGGAGGCGGCCGAGCCTCCGCCGGTCCGCGCGGTGGGCGCCTCGCTCTCGCGCTCCAAGTCGGAACGCTCGCGGCTGCTCGCGCTCGCCGAGGGCGTCGCTCGGTCGGAGCAGTTGTTTGAGGGCGGCGCTCCGCAGCCGGTCCCGTTGCGCCGTTGGGCAGCCTCCCAGTTGGCCCTGGACCTCACCGACCAGGTCAGCCTCTAGACTTCCCGGCGGCGGCTTGGTGAGAAGCCGGACCCCGGCGGGGCGGGGGGGGGGGGGGGGCTACGATTGCAATTGATTTGGACGCGCGCATGATGGCTCTTTGTTCTTTGCAGTTTTTGGCTGGGGAGGGGACAAATGTAGGACAGGCGGGAGAAGGTGGGAAGATATTCGAGGAAGTTATCCTGGGGCGGGGCCATGGCATGTGCATGTGCATGTGCATGTCATGTGCATGCAGTTGCACATGCATGCATGTGGCATGTGCACATGTGCATATGCATTGCACATGTGTGCGGCGATCGCGCATGGAGAGGAGCGGAGAGCGGATCGCGCGCAAGTGACACAGAGTGATGATCAGTGTGCAAAAACACAGTTGTTGTTCTCTCTGGGAGCTCCTTGGACTAAAACACTTATCGTAAAAGCGCTCACAGGCTCCGGCTCAGGTCGTGGGGCATAGCTCGGGTGTAAACGGGGTCTGGGGAGGGGAAGCCCCAGCGGCCCGCCGCAGGCGCCGCCGGAGGCTGGCCCGCCGCAGGCGCCGATTTTTTGGCGTTTTTTTCTCAAAATTGAGGGATTTCTCATCTAAATTCTCATCCAAAATCGAGCTCGCTACGAGCTCTCTCTAACTGCACAGCATCTCCTCGTTGAGCCTAGCGGCGCCCGTATCGCCCACGCCCACATTCCTTTTTCTTGCCCTTGGCCCTTGCTGCACTCAGCCGCTCAACCTCCGCCAGTCTCTCCTTGCTCGTTGCTGGCGCTGCAAGGTGTTGAGGTGAGCACCTAATGTAGTATGGTTGAGGGGCTTGGCGAGCGGCCGCGCTGCGGATCAGGGCTAGTGAGAATGGGCACTCTCCTGTGCGGGTGTACCCCCGGATAAGCCGGATGGGGGATGGAGGCCTCGACCGACGACCGCCCCTCGCGGGCAAGCGCGCGAGTAGCTCCAGCAGCTCGCTCGCCGCCACCGCCGCGTCGAACTGCTCCCTCAGGCCGAGCGCGCCACAGACCCTGCGGACCGCCTCCTGCTGGACCTCGTCCGGCAGATGGGTGCTGGAGAATCTTTTTTTGAGAGCGCCTTCGTTGTTAATAGTACAAACCCAATGGTCCCTTGCGAGCGGTCCTTCGTTCGTTGCAGTCGCACACACGCACACGCCACGCCGCACCGCGCACCCGCCCACTGCCCCGCCAGGCGGGAAAGTGAGGAGATGGGACAAAGGAGGAGGTAAACGGTTTTTTTTGTTTTTGGCGACCCCATTAGCGATGCGCTCTGTGTTCAGCTGCTGCCTCCTGCTCGCCCAGGGCGGCGCCGCCGCCCTCGTCGGCCAGCCGCTGTCGCAGGGCCGCGCCGGCCGCCGCTCGGCGGTCGGCATGGTCACCGCTGCGCCCGAGCTCAAGGACAAGCAGCAGTCGTTTGACACCTCGATCGCCGAGGTGCCAAAGTGCCCAGAGACGGTGTGGAACTCGGAGAACATCGACCTGGCGGCGGTGCAGTCGCCGTCGCGCGTGCTGCCGGTCGAGATCACCGCCGCTGACGTGCCCGAAGGCATGAGCCAGGAGGAGTTCTTCCGGGCGAGGCGGCCGGAGCTCCTCGAGCAGCTGACGGCGGGCGGCGCGATCTGGCTGCGCGGCTTCGACCTGATGAAGACGAAGGAGGGGTTCGCGTCGTTCTACGAGCAGCTCGAGCTCGAGCCGTGCCAGGACCCGCTCGCCTCCGTCGGCGCGCGCGCGGTGGTCGACAAGAAGAGCGCGATGTACGAGGCTGTCAACAAGCCGTCGCGCGCAAAGTTCTTTGTTGGCATGCACGCGGAGAGCACGTACAAGCGGACGAACCGGCTGGGAGCCTTCGTCTGCTTCAAGCAGGCCGAGACGGGCGGCGAGTTCCTCCTCCTCGACGGGCACAAGATGCTCAAGGCGCGCAGCGACACTTCCGAGACACTTCCTAGACACCTCCGAGACACCTCCTAGACACCTCCCCTGCCGCCTCCCCGCCGCAGGACCTCGACCCCGCGGTGCTGCGCCGGCTATACGACAAGGGCGTCCGCTTCTCCAACGCGGAGCTGCCCTTCTTCGACTTTTTGCGCACGCTGCCCGAGCCGCTGCGGCCGCTGAAGGAGCCGCTCAAGGGCGTCTTCAAGGCGGTCGCGCAGGTCGCCGTCGGCGCAAAGATCGACATGGAGCTCGAGCTGCGCTGGGACGAGAACGAGGAGGACGGGCTGCGCCTGCTCGCGTTCTCGCCGACCCAGCCTCCGGTGAACCGCCACCCGGTCACTGGAGAGCCAGCCTGGTTCTGCAACGTGCACTCGCACTCGCGCTACCTGCGCGACGGCCGCGACGGCAAGCTCGTCGAGAGCTCGGGCGCGTCCAAGCTCAACGTGACAAACATGTTTTACGGCGACCTCTCCGAGGTTTCAGCCGACGACCTGAAGCACATCGACGAGGTGACGATGAAGAACCTCGTCTACGTGCCGATGGAGAAGGGCGACGTCGTCCTAGTCGACAACTACCAGGCGCCGCTCCCGCCTGGCCCCGGACCCCCCCCTCCCCTCCCCTCTCTGTCGCCACACCGCACTCCCCCCTCGCGCCTCCCTGGTGCAGCGGGATGCTCAAGAGCCCCTCGCCATCACAGCCCTCGCCATCACAGCCCTCGCCATCGCAGCCCTCGCCATCGCAGCCCTCGCCATCACAGCCCTGGCCATCACAGCCCTCGCCATCACAGCCCTCGCCATCACAGCCCTCGCCATCACAGCCCTCGCCATCACAGCCCTCGCCATCACAGCCCTCGCCATCACAGCCCTCGCCATCGCAGCCCTCGCCATCACAGCCCTCGCCATCACAGCCCTCGCCATCACAGCCCTCGCCATCACAGCCCTCGCCATCACAGCCCTCGCCATCGCAGCCCTCGCCCTCGCACGGGCGAGGTGAGACCCCCCCCCCCCCACACACACACCCTCACCCCCACCCTCACCCCCCT